CCGCCATGTCTTCCGTGCAGACGTGTGAGGTCCGAGTGACAGCAGATCCATTTAATGTAGGCTCCTAACATTTTGCGTAGTAACGATTCTCGAGAAATATGAAATTTTTATAAAAGCGGCTTTCATTTCAGAATGTTTAAACGCCGTGGCCGCCACGCTACATCTGCATTTTATTTTGACGCCATGACTAATCGTTGGGTCTGGGTAAGTGGATTTTTTTGGGTGGGGGGGGAGGTACGTCACAAACTTACTTGGAGTCTCTGGACGAACCATTTCTTTGTATGTCTCCGGTCACAAGCATGGCCAAATTGCGAAACTACGATTTTTCCTGGGTAATTAATGTATTTAAGTCGGAATCAGCACTCAAGTAAATTATACCTAACAGAAATATATTACAAAATTGTATAATCAGTAGTTTATATTTCATGTTAGTTTCACCATATGCTCGTAGCTTATAAAATGTAAAGCTGTCCCCTGTAATAGGTCGTGAGACGTCGAGGCAACTTTTTTTTTTTTTACTCCTCTATGATACGAGTACATTTTTCGACCGTACCCGGCCATCATCAGGCAACTGTTTATCTTGCTAAAACCGTTACACTATATTTAAAATTAATTAGTTCCAAATTGGAATATGTCAGTACGTTCCATTTGTCGTCGTCCGTTCATAAAAGATGTTTGCTTGGGCACATTACTCGTCATGTTTTCTCGCGTTGCTCTCAGCCGCGCTCTGTCGACGTGTCGTGTCATCTGTCTGGACATTCACATATTTCTTCACGGACACTGTTGCATGAAGCAGGAGTGTTTTAAATAGTTAGCCGCAAGTTTTGCCAAGCTTCGCTACCCCCCTTTCTGCTGGAGATACACGTAGTTATATTGTATTAATATCGAGATAGTTCATACACACTAGTTTCTTTTAGGGGTTTCTGCCGATATTATTCGACTTTGCAGGAACATCACACAGTGTTTCTGTTTTATTTTAGTGTGTATCTTTATTTCCTTCTACCACTCTCCCTTACAAAGCATGTCGCGTCTAAATATCCCTGCTGGTCTAGGGCAGCAGACCAGGAGCAGTAGGTGTATACCTTGCTTAACCGTGGTACGGTAGTTGAACTAGAGCAAATATATAGGGTTTGCTGTTCACACAGTGTGCTTACGAAGTTCTGTCTTCTGGGATATAACGCCGTGTAGTCCTTTGAAAGTCAAACCTACGTTTCGGAAGAACATTTCGCCTCCATCTTCCGGGTTGAAGAGCTCTGTTTCATGCTGATTTCATGCATGGTTTGTTTTTCGATTCGGAAGAATGAGGCTACATGTTCCTCCTAAACGTCGGTTGATTTTCGGCGCACTACACGGCGATATATCCCGGAAGATAGAACAAATATGCTTTCTCTTGAGCTAAGCACACTTCCTCTGCTTCTCCGGTAGAAAAATAAAGTCGCGAGTTAACCGCTGCGATGTACGACAAGTCATTGTACAACATCCATTAGTTGCGCAGTATTCCAACTTGTCAACAGCAATGAAAACCATTTTATACTTTGTAAGTGTAAAAGTACAAAAAAGCACACGTTTTATGGTACATGTTATGTGTTTTGGTCTTTTCGATGTTGACTTTTATTTAAAGAAGCTTTGTTTTGTCAGCGGAACTCTTTTGTTCCACAGTTTTTTTTCAAATCTGTAATAAGCCCCGGCCAGATAATTCAGCGTTTCTCAGGGAGATTTATCTCGTGGAGCAAGGAAAGGGTTAAAGGAAATTGAGATTTTTAGATCTTTGGTAAAGGTCGAACAAATGCACAGGCGTTGAGCCTGAGAGGAATATCCATAACGTTATTAGACTCGTAACGATATATTTGTAGTTACCATAAGATAACATTATGATCAATGAAATATGCAACATTTCAAAGAACGCATTACAGAGTGTGTGTTTTGTATGGTGCGCCTATTTCTGTTCTCGAAGATGAATTCGTATAAGGAATTTCGCTTCCCAAGGAATATTAATAATAGCTTTCCTGCAAGATCCATTGGAGTTCTATGTTGTTAAGAGAAGCCATCAAGAGAATTGGAATTCTGTGCCTCCGCCTCGCAGCTGTGCCTTAGAGGGGATTAAGTGGCATAAGAACAGAAGACTGCAGACAGTGCTGGCAGATCCTGCTGAATGCTCCTGTCCGCATTGTAAAAGCATTCCAGACAAAAGAAATGCGAATGTTCTCGAAAAGTTATAAGCATACGTTTTACAGAGGTACCCTTGTTTCAGTAACTGCTGGCAGACCTGCAGGGTATGGCCCTTAGTAGTCTTCTTGCCTTCGTAGCTATTCAAGGAATCCCTTTGTGTTGTGAAATCCCAGTGTTCGTTACTGCCACCGAAAAAATCACATAATTGGGGCGTTACCTTTCTGTCAGATCCATTTTAATATTGTCCTGCAGTCGGTGTCTATTTTTTTAAGTGATATTTTTCCATGAAGTTTGTCAACCAAAATTTTATCTGCTCTCCTTATTTCCCGTCAATTCTGTACGCCCACCTCTCTAAAGCACCATTGAAGAACTGTAATAATACTATTTTTGTACATTCTTCACACAAAATAATGAGATGAGGACATAATTGGAAGGTCATGACCAGGGCCCGGATTTTGATGACCTGAAAATATTTAAAAAATCAAGAAAAATGACCTAAAATATGACCCAAAAATGTAATATGGAGGGCCCGGATTTTGATGACCTGAAAATATTAAAAAAAAATGACCGAAAAAAAATCCAGAAAAATGACGTAAAGGAGAAACACTTCCATGTTATTCACATTTCAGGAAACATATGAAGAAAAATTCCCTAAAATGGTCAAAAATGACAAGAAATACCCTTAAAAGTCCAAAACTTACCCCCAAAATGAAAAAAATGACCTTAAACCTAAAAATGACAAAAAATGACAAAACATTACCTATAAAATTTACATTTCTGTAACCAGCAGCTCATATCCGAGATTTATATATTTAAGAGCATCGCATAGGATACAAGGAAAAAAAGATGACATGTCATCAAAATCCGGGCCATGGTCATGACTCTCAGTCTTCGTGTTTTGTCTCCGACACTAATCGACAGATTAATACCTCGGTTAGACCAAGATCGTTCCCTTCCAATTCATTTTTCACCAGTCTATCATCCGACACTATATATAGTCTGAGTTGCTGACGTCACATAAACCACAAAATAATAAATCAAATTTCTTATTTCTTTATGAGTTAATAGTAACTTAAGTACGCCAGAAATTACGCGAATGATTATCCTTTACGTAATTTTGGTTTATTTAATGACGCTTTAAATTTATTAGACTATATAGCTAGGAGGCGTGCACTGTCTTCGCTCACTCGGAAGCTGGGTTCTTGGGTTCGAATCCCACTCAGGGCATGGATGTTTGTGTGCGTTTTTCTGTTTTTGTGTACAGGTAGAGGCCTTGCGACGAGCTGGTCACCCGCCCAAGGAGTCCTACCGTATGTCTAAGATCTAGAAAAACCGAAGTGAACGGAGAAGTTCATGGAGGTAGGCCTAGGCCCACTGGGGCTGTAGTGCCAAGGAAAAAATATATAGCTCGGAATGATGGGAAGATTAGGGAATGCTTACTTAGAGGCCACGCGGACCAATTTCGCTGCGTGGCAACCTCTGTATTCAGAAAGCAATCCATATGGGCCACTGCAGTAGTAAGCAGTACGTAGAACTTAAATAAGTGCCATAATTGACAAGCTTCGATTATTGTAATGCAGCTGATGTTACGAAAAACCCGGGCAAAGAATGGGAGCTTTCACGAGAACAGTAAACCCTCGCTAATCCGGAGTAATTGGGCGAGGGAGGGGTGTCATTCGGATTAGCGAAGCAAAAGGTAGGCATAAAAGAACAAGCGAATGAAAAATTTAACGATGTAAGTAGTGCTCATGAAAATAAAAAAATATAACTGTAGAGCCTTTATTTATAAACTATAGAAAGGTAATACATTTATTCATGTATATAAGACAGAAGTTGTACTTGTTTTTGAGCGTAATAATGCAGGATTGAAGACACTGTTAAGTTTTGTCTGAACAGATAAGTGACTCGTTTGCCTTTCTGAATGCCGTGTATCTTTACTAAAGTATGTACTCAACTGTGAACAGCATTTTTCATATTTCGATCCGGATTAACTGTAACTGGTCTAGAAAGGATTTACTTTTTTGTTTTGAAAAATAAATTATTTGCAAAAAGGCCTAGGCAATGCCCATCCGGCCCTCTGTTGCACGGTCTTATAAACATCTTATTGTATCATAGCGGTGGCCCGCGATTTTTGAATATATATATATTTTAACTCTAAGGGTAATATACTCTTTAATATTTTGTACATAGAGGATTTACTGTATCTCATACGGCCACTAGCTCTATCTGTTGCGCAACTTCTGTAACCAGCAGTCCCCCCCCCCCAAGTTCCGTGTCACAGTTAATTGTACTCCCCCGCATGCATCAAGACATTGCTTGCTGTTCATCGGTAGTGGAAATGGACGTGAAATTGTAACGCATGTAGTCGGCTTATCAGTGGCAGGGGAAACCGAAGTACTCGGAGGAAACCTGCCCCAGCGCCACTTTGTCCACCACAAATCTCACTTGACCAGACCCGGGATCGAACCCGGGCCACCGCTGTGGGAAGCCAGCGGCTAACCGCTTGAGTTATGGCGCGGCCTAAACATGATCTAAGTAGTAATCTATGAAACTATGAAAGTGTAGTGTTACATTTACAAGACCGTTACACTTGCACGAGGGCCCCAACCCACATGCGCANCCCCCCCCCCCCCCCCCCATAATATTATCGTCCGATCTACTCACAGGTTGGCTCCCTTCCCTTTATGTTTCCTGGCTAAAATCTTCTTGTATGCATTTTAAAATTATCCGTGCATGCTATATGCCCTCCCTATCTGTCCTCTTTCATATAATGACATTCACAATGTAGTAACATTGTACTGAAATACTTGAACAACTCACATTTGTTGCAGGTCAGAAGGAACTGGCCATTGAGCTGTACAAGAAGGGCATATCGGAGCTGGAGCAGGGGATTGCAGTGGAGTGTGTTGGGGGGAAGGGAGAGGTGTGGGAGCGAGCCCAACGCCTGCATGACAAGATGAAGACAAACCTGGTGATGGCAAAGGATCGTCTTGACTTCCTAGGTATTGAGCCTGCCAGCAACACGCTCCTGCAGGAAGCATTGCATGCTCCTGGTAGGCTTCCCCTTAAGTGCTGTCTGTCTGATCTCACTCCCAGCAAACAGTGATCAGTGCCGGGTGTGGTTGTAATGAAGTCTTATTTTCATAAGTTGGACTTTTGAACATTCATTAAACCCATATCATTCTATATGATCAACATAAAATGATTCCGTTGTTTCTGCGGTTGATCCCAGTACTAAGGTTGATGATATATAAATCTCGCTACAGTGATGCATTAGTTACTCTCATCAAAGAAAAGCATAAATAAATATTTTGCAATCAGCGTGTTGCTGCTTTATGTATTGTACATAAAATAATCTGAACAGAGTTGCATATTTTTGAAGATCTTTTACTGTCCATGATTTATTTCACCGTCTTTTAGTGCATACACTTATCTACCTCACTCCTTTCTCCCGCACTACATGTTTCGGCACAAAAGTGCCATCTTCAGGTGCTTATTCGATTAACGTCAAACTAGTTCACTGCATGCCTTGTCTTCATATTAAAATAATTAAAATATATATTTATCATATATACCAACAAATATCAAATATTAAAAATATTAAAATTGTTCAGGATTTTTCCTACGTCATATCTCACAGTATCTTTTACTGTGCAGAATTTCAGAACATTAAATTAGGTCTCATGAGTATTGCTGTCACTGAGAATATTGCACAATATTATTGATAGTATGACGCAAAGAATACCAGGATGTAACTAAAGTTAATGAAAATCCTTAAAATAATTTGAAAATTATTAGAAGACAGACATTTACACAGCATTTTTTTCTAAAACCAAGTTTCCCAGTGCTCCACACTCTGTTTTAGCCTCAGACTCGTCACATGTGATGCACTTGCAGGAGTATGACTTTTGACATTTTACAAGTTTGCTAGTTCATAGCACATGTCTGCTGGTATGCATACCAACTGAAAAATAGCACTGTTTGTACATATATACATAACAATATGATGATGCCAAAAGTCTACTTTTCTTAGAAAGGAAAGCAGGCTGAAAATTCATGAAATAGAATCGCTTTGCTTTTACCACGATCCGATTTACTAAATTTCCAACAGTTTGGGATCCCAACTAAAAGTAAATGAGAAGTGAAACTTGGGTCTTTCGCCCTATTTTCAGTGCTCCAGATGACATATTTTTCTTATGTGGTAGCCATTTATAGGCCTGAGGTTGAATAAAAGATAATCATTTCATTGCCCAGTTTTGTGAAATCTCAACCAAAATAAATAAGGACAGATTATTTCATACAGTAATACCATTGGTCCAGTTTTATTTTCCCAACAAACGAAATGTTTTAAGTAAATTTAAATAATGAACTATATCTAAACTGTACTGCCTATATTAAGAAACTGGAAAATTAATTTTAATTTTAATTAACCAATGAAGTGAATGTGATCCTTGTGAGCCATGTAGCAGCAGCATCAAAGTGTTTGGGGTGTAACGGGGTCACAAGGAAGCACCCAGCACTGATCACACTCTGCTGAAGCTGTCGTAAGAAGTGGACTGGAAAGAATTCAGCTGGTAGTGAGTCCACTATTCTGGCTGCTGTATAATTTTTGTACTTTAATTGAGGTCCAGACAACACAGTTAAGAATAATATTCAGTGAATGTTTACATTCATGGTATATCTTTACAATATTGTGATCGGTTCCCTCTGTTTTCACTGTGTTTTCATTAGATTAGAGTGTTTGCTGATAGGCATGTGTTGTTACACTTGTGAAATTAAAATATACTTTCGTTTTAATTTCAATATAGGCTTTTTGTTAATTTAAATTTGATAGACCATGGTATTTGGTTGAGTTAGCTCAGTTTGGTTTAACTTGTGCCTGATTTGTGTTATATTTATATTTTTAGTAATGAGCATAAATCAGAATTTGAATTCTGTGGTACATTTGCTTGTCATTAACAGTTGTGTTCTAAGAGAATGAAGTGCATGGTCACTATATTGTAAAGTTGTTTTGTATTACCTTTAGAACATAAGATCACACATGTAATAGAATATATATAATATTAATTTAAGTTATAATGGTTCAGGTCCTTAATCATTATCTGATAAAAAATGCATATGCTGCGTGTGTAATGTAATGGTTATAATTACTGTCTCTCTTCATCATCATCACACAGTTTCAGTTCCAATTGCTTTTACTTTTGACTGCTGCTAAATCATATCTTTTCAATCCATTTTAGTACATGACTTGAGAAACTATGTGTTCTGTAGTGTTTGCATGTTTGTGTGAAATATATAGGTGCCTACCATAGTTATGAAACAACAACAACAACAATGGTTTATGAATTCAGTTCCTTTGAGTCCTCTATTAAATTTCTTGCCAATAGCTGAGATTTTTAAAGAGGGAGTGTTAATAAATTTATTTGTATTTAAAACACAATAACACACTAAAATAAACACAAAAATTGTAAAAAGATAAACTAAAAAACTTAACATGTTCCAAAACAGAGAAGGAGTGTTCAGTTGGAGCAGTATCTATGCTAAAAAGGCCCACAAATCTATGAAAATTTGCATTGCCAGATTGTCCAACAAACACTCTTACTTTCATTAGAACATAGCTAGATTAAAGTTTTCATAATTGTATGAGTGGCTGTTGCAAGTGGTAGGGCATGACTTTTCCAAAAGTGGTAACAAAATCCTGAGGCAGAGAAGTGAATACATACATGATTCAAGACAACAATGGATATATGAACTAAGAATTAATTAAGCTCAAAAAGGGAAGGAAATATGAAGAAGGAAGAAACAGTTAATGACTGCTAACCATACCTACTACTATCCCATACAGTGCTTTTTTCAATGAAAATTTCTTGTCACACAGTCACGGACGTTCACACAGTTTTCCATTTCTTCAAGAATTTTCTTCTCAGTTGTCATTAATGATAATTTAATGAACATGTTAGAGAGTTTGATTTGTTTCATTCTGGTCTATCACACTAACAATATTACAAATGATAAAACAATTCCATCCAGTGTGACTGTTGAAGCTTTTACTACTTCACCTCTTAGCACCATAACATGTTTTGGTCCCTATAGACTATCGTCAGAGGGAACATCAGTACTTTTAGAAACTGCTATTACATTGGGTGTTTTGATTTTTGTTTAAATACATAAATATACAATATTTGTAATATAAACTTTATACAAAATCCAAATTTCTTACAATATATTAGTATGAAGAAAGCAGTCTTCTGGGATTTGGCACCGTGTATATGTGGTGTTAACCGACGTTCCTCCGAAANTTGATGTTCCCTCTGGTGATGGTCTGTAGGGACCGAAACGTTTTAGGGTGCTAGAAAGTGAAGTAGTAAAAGCTTCAACAGTCACACTGGGTGGAAATGTTTTATCATTTGTAATGTTAGAGAGTCTCTCATAAGTGTGTATGCTGTGTAGGTGAAGTATGAACTGTCTGCAGACCAGAGAATATCCACTCGATGGACACATTGGGATGTGGTATTGTTAATAACAAGGGAGATTAATTTATGACTTTGGCAATCTTTCACTCAGATCCGCAGCAGTAAAATATGTGAAGTCTGAAATATAAATTTTTAAAAAATTATTCTAGGGAATAAATAACAGAAATTTCAGTTTTAAGAAGAGAATCAAAGTGCCATCTGTGTGATTTCAGTTTTATATGCATCAGCTGGAAACTTTTCAGAGTAGAGAAACTTTATTTTGAGAATTTCTGAGAATGAACTGGGGGTCAACTGTGCCATCATATTGTCAGTCATTCCATAGCACAGCCAGTGATGAGAAACTTTTTGATCACTGTCACCGATTGACATGAGTTGTCTCTTAGCTGCAAATTCTGTGTATTCTGTATCTTCTCTGAGGGGGGAGACCTGAAATTCTTCCACTGTAGTTGATTTCATTACTTTTGGTTTCCATAATTTCAAAAGTTTTTTTTTCTTTCTTGTTTTGCAATAGCACTACTGAAAATACTTGTGACTAAATTAAAATCAGAGTCTTGAAGTCTGTCATGGTATTCTCTAATAGAAATATGCATTTTGCGATCCCATTCTTGCTTGCTTGCCTGCCTGTCTCTGTTCATTGTGTGCCCTATGAGCACTAAGCAACTAAAATGTGTTAACATTTACGATTTGGCTAACATAGTGACCTTGTGGTAACTTTGGAGCGTCATACACTCCTTCCCCCTCTTAAACCTTTACTTTGTCTCTTATAATTACTTCTGCATTCAGAAGGTGCCAACATGAGCTGCAGGGAAATGAGTAATAAGTCTATGATTGGGTGTACAAAGGTGGCAGATGAATGATGTATTATTAGATCGCTTCTCTTGCCAGTATGTGGCGTTATCACTAAACCATGAAAGTAACATTTCTGTCTGATTTTCGAAGTGTTAGCCAGGCTCACACAGTTAACGTGAATGCCTCGCCGTTGTAAAGCATCCTATAGAAGGCCACATTTGTGTTTTTGTTGTCGGTGTTCATTAGTTATCAGGTGTTGATAATATTTCATGTTTCAGACATCTGCTTGAAATAGGAACTTGTATGATTGTTCAAGGGTGAAGTATGTCTGGATCATTTAAAGCGATGCCATCGGATATTGACAATGAAGCCTGAGATTCTCTTGCCACTGTGGTTGCAGTTGCAGCTATGCTTGATTTTTTCTAATATCTTCCTAAAGCCACCAGTCCATAATATGAAATGTATGATTAAATAAAAAACAGTTTACTACAACAACCAAAGACACTTAAATAAATCAATAAGACTAAAGAACTGTGTGGAAAATAGACATCATTTAACAATTTCCCACAGTTCTAGTGTGAAGGAACCATGGTAAATCAAAGAAAACTGAACCATTGTGTTGAGACAACGAGATCATATTTCTGTAGTCTTCTCCTGTAAAGACAGCAGTATCCTGTTGCAGATGCATGCTATGTATACTGTCGCATAATTAATTCAATTTTGCCATTAGTGCATATTTAATAGTGAATTCCCTAGAAACCCTTTACAGAGAATGGTTTGAGAATCACATATGTAGACAACCTTGAAATTAAATTTAACATGAAACTAGACTGTAACAGTAACAACAAGAACAGTTCAGTTCAGTTTCTTCATTTGAGTGCTTGCCAGCCGAAAGCAGCATTTAACAGGTAAAACTATAAATGTATTCATAGCTAGAAACTATACCTAAAATGAACTGAAAACTTAAGCAAAAAAAAATAACACATTAACTTGTTAATAAAAACAGTGAAATAAATATGACTGAAAAAGGAAACAAATGTCATCATGGGAGATAATGTGTTTATTAAAAATGCGTAGCATTTGTCACATGCTGATTACAGCTGTGGTGATGGTAACAATAAGAACATAAAGGATAAGCTTGTTTCTTGGTAACAGAATATTAAAAATGAAAGCAAGAGGGTTGATACACAACACACAGACACATTGAAGGAACACCAGGTATTACATTATCATGCCCTCTTCGCAAAAATATAAAATATAAATTTTGGGCGCATTTTATGAGAATGGGCTCTGATTTGATGTTCTATCTATAAACCCTCTTTCTTCCATAATGATTTTGGTCATTAATGAGGAGTGTTGTTCAGAAAGCCTCTTGTACAGTTTGTCTCATTTGGAAGCTCTCCCTTGATCCTCTGCAACTTGTGTGACTGGAGGCCTGTGTTAGAATATTTGCTTGGTTTCGTACAAAATAACATTTAATTTATTTACTTTTATTGTATTGTGTTTGTTTTGTTTTCTGTTTCTTATAGTCACTCTTGAGCATCTGGGCCAGTTAGCAGTGTCACGTGAGACATGCCCAGCCCCTCGGGGGAAGACTCAGCGATCAAGGGTAGCTCCCCAACCCCTCAACACCCCTAAAACAGAAACTAAACCATATACACTGTTGAACAATAAGGGGAGCCCCAGACCAAAACAGCAGGAGTTCAAATTGCCACCTCCCCCTCCTCCCACTCACAGGCCCTCAGAAGGTATTTCATCATTTTAAGCGTAATTAACATTACTAACATTTACTTCTCATGCAGGGATTTCCACATTGTTGTGTCAGTGGCCACATGCATACAACTTCCAGGGTTTGTTATGATTATTTTATGTTTTCTATAGACTGTTGGGCCATAGAAGAAAGGGGGGGGGAGTTCCTCCCTGGGCTGCATGTAAATTATCTTTATGGTCAGTGGCTCTCAGAAGTGGAAATAAAGGAAGAACATTCATCTTTATTTAATTATTTTCACTAATAATGTTCATTGGCTTTCTGGAACTATTCCCGTATATCTTACCCATAATCTTGGTAGAATGTTTGCTATAGTAGCAATCTGATTATTGGGGTTTGTAGTATAAGCACACCTTTTCTCATTCACAGACTGGTGAAACAAAGCATATTTTCCAAAGGTTGGTAATTTATCTTACACTGTACAGTGCAAATCTGATTAATGCTACAATGTATAAACATGATTATTTACAATATAATAATTATTGTCTTTATGTTGTATTAACATGTAAGAGAAAGTGAAAGTAAATGCAAATGTAAATCAGTGAATGTTAAAAGTTTTTCATGCAGTCACATGAAATAATGTCAGACATAGAGTCTGATGTTCGTAATATTGCTCCATGTCCTCAGATTTGTTTGAATGGAACATGTAGAATACAGTAAGTTATATTACAGACTTAACTTCAGGATTTATCCCATGAATTAGGTTGGTCTGGACACAAGACTCAGTACTTCTATTGAGAAAGTGCTCAATTCAAATCTCAGCAGGATGTCATCTATCCTGTTTGAGGTTTGTTGTGGTCTTCTCAGGTCCAACATGGAAGTGCTAGGATAGTACCACGGTTAGGCTACAGTTCCTTCCTTCCACGTCCTTTCCAGTTCATTAGGTGTCCTACTATTTGACACTGTATGGTCTAGGTACTGACAGTGTCATTAAATACGAGTAATCCACAAATAGAGGTCCATATGTTAGGAAAGTTACATCACGGAAGTTTTGATAGACTGGACATGTAGGATAAAATATTCTGGCAAAATTTTGTTAGCCAATTCTCATAACAGTGATTAGTTATAACTTTAAACCATAAAAGAAGGAAATATTGAAATAGATCTTAGAATGATGTGAGTTGGATTGGGCTGCTTATGGGTAATATCTCTTCACTTGATTAACATTTGGGTCACAGAAAATAAATAATTCTTTGCGATTAAACGTCATTGACAATTCTGTTTATCTAATGAAGTTTGGGATATGCCCAGCAAGTTGAGCACTGAATTCTGGGAAGTGCCTGTTCATGGAGAGCGCACAAACCAGCAGTTCCTGAGCCTTTTAGATGACTGAAGTTTATGTCATAGGCCATTGACAACCTTTCAGCAACAATGCGAGATCCCTGTAGTACTGTAGCCTCATTTGTCTCAAAATGAGTGTGATATCTTAGGAGAATGATGATATGATGGGATATTCAAATTTAACATGCACTAACATATAACCTTCACTAGCACTGTCAGTACATTTTAACTTAAATTTATTATTACATCACATAACCTAGTTTTTGGATTTAAACTTTAGACCTGCTATGCACTTTTTATGCTTATGACAGAAAGCTTTTAAGAACATTCTTCATTTAATTGACACCATTACAAGCTTTCACATCCATCAGCATTAAGTTCTGAGCTTTTCACTGTAATATTGTTTGAGTTTCTTGAGTTATAGAACTTAAGTGAAACATATTTTGAAACACTGAACTATTAACCCATTGCTTGATGAAGATGATGTAATCATTATACATATTGTTTCCCTGTATATACTGAGCTCATTGAAGTGTTTATATACACTGAAAATGTTCTTTCTTCGAGAATAATATTATGGCCCTTTAGTCTCTTAAAAGCTAATTACCTGATTAAAACTTAAATATAGTATCTGTTGACCCCATCACAAGCAGAGCTCCTGTTCTATGTCAACATTCTTTTTCATTATTTGCCTCTTCTTGAAGTATACATTTTAATTGTACCAGGATTTGGAATAATTTCTCATAGTTCTGGTAACTTATGTGCAATCTTTGCCACGTGGAGGTACAATGGCACATGTTTTTTGCTATGAAGGCATGTAGATTTTGATCAGAAGTGTACTGGGCTTTCCAGCAGGCAGCATGAAATTCTTATGACGTGTATGGGTTCAAAACCTTTCATATGAGTGAGGGTCCACAGGATTAGAATATAAGAGACAGATTGAGTGTTATAAAGCTCTTAACCTCAGCTTCCTATGATGTGCTGTTTTATCAGAAATTAGGCTCCAGTTACTGAGCCATGGCAATTTAATCATTACATCTGGTATGAAGGAACTATCACTAGTTCAAGAAACCGGGTTAATTATAATATAACCACTATACTCGTATCTGGTGTGGAGGGAACACCTCTATGGAAATCTGGGTTAGGTTAAATTGAAGTATATTTCTATGGTGGATTTTGATAAGAAGGAGAGTACAGTCATCTGGGTTGTAACATGGTATAGTTCAGAGAGAGCTCTGCATGTTACATGAATATAGTACTTCCATCATCAGGGTAAGAGATGTCCAAGCAAGAAACCAACAGAAGCAGGTGGCAAGTTGAGCTGCATGATATGTTCTGCCGAAATGTCAGGATGTCTCTGAACTACATGGAATTTCAACCCAGAAGACCATACGTTTTATATTTATTTTCGGTTTTGAATTTTGTGTTGCTGATAGTTGTAACCAAGGCACTTGATTCAACTGTAAAGTCAGTAACCATCATATCTCTGTGTTGCTCATATAAAAACTATAGTCTTTTACTTGTCTTTTAATTTTAATGCTTCGTCTAGAATGTTGTCCATTTTTATGAATATATCACTTGCAGTATTTTTATTACTGTAAGTACTCGTAACTCTCATGATGCTTCATTCTGAAGATACTGAGCCTGAGTGTACAGATTGTTAGATTTGCATCATGTTTTTTTGTACATGCACTGTACACGTACTTGAGGTTGCAGCCAAACTAATAAAAAAAAGTCTTCACAGTCTCCTCATTGTAATGTAGTCTTATGGAAAATCTGTATGTTTAGGTTCAGTATTTGTCTGCAGCATTGCAGTTATATTTAGTATTTAAAAACAAACATAAATATACAGAAGTATAATATTACCCATTATTTTGTATGTGTACAAAACTTATTGTTTCATGTTAAGGGAAGAACATAGATGAAGGGTGTTTGAGAACAGGGTTCTGAGGAGAATGTTTTGATCTGAGAGGAGGAAAATAGAAGGACAGAGCTGTTTACAGAGCAAGGAGTTTTGTAATTTACTCTCTTTGCCATCACATCAAGGCGAATGAGATGGATGGGACATGTGACATTCATGAGAGAGATGAGAAACCCATAGAAAAGCTAAATGGGAGACCCATGGCAGACCTAGGCATCGGTGGGAGTGTAATGTTAAGTTGATCTTAAAGAACTAGGCTGTGAGGGTGTGGGTTGCTTTCATCTGGTTCAGTATGGTGTCCATCATCAGGCTGTAATGAGCACAGTAATGAACTTTTTGGTTCCATAAAATTTAGGGAATTTCTTGAGCAGCTGAAGGTTCCATAAAATTTAGGATATTCCTTAAGCAACTGAGGGTGCCGTAAAATATTGGGTATTTCTTGAGCATCTGAGTGTGCCATAAAATTTATGGAATTTCTTGAGCAGCTGAGCGTTCTGTAAAATTTAAGGAATGTCTTTAGAAGCTGAGCAACTGGCCACTAGCAGCTTCTCAAGAAGGACACTGCATCATGAAGATATTTAAAGTTGTTGTATTTATGCCACTGTTTCTTGTCTGAACTGTTTTTACCCAGTAAACATACTCGTATGTGTTTGAAATTTCCCAGAGAAACAGAATTGCTTTCTCAGAACCTTAGGTCTTGGATGCTTGTATCTGTCTGCGAGCTTGTTCAATGATTCATCTTCACCCATCAGTATTGTGGACTAAAGTTAACCAGTGTTTGTGGAACTCTGTATGTCATGCAACTGGAGGTGAACTCATTGAGGTGTTTTCTTACTTCTTGTCATCAATGCCAACATGACACCAATGTGAACTTGTGATGTGGTAGCAAGCCAGTCAGTGTAGAATCTTAAAATTTTGAGGGCAGTGTATTTCACTCTTAGTAAATTTGTTAGAAAAACCAGATAGCACTGTGGTGATTGAAATGTTGTGTTGTGGTGATGGTGAATAATCATAACTTAATTTGTAAAGATTTCTGTGGCTTGTTACAAATATGTTGCCTGGTGGTTCAGGTGGTACTAAAGTCATCAGAATTGTAGAATGCATCACACAAGCGGTGAATACTTTTAATGGTTGTGGTTATTTGGTGTGCTGGATACAGTTGCTAAGTTCTAGCATGGGGTAAAAGTTAAAAAAGGTGAAGTTAGTTAAGTGAAACACTATACCATGAAGATATATGTGGGAGTGGATGTATAGATCCACGTTTTCTTGACCTTGGCACTAGTTGGAAGTAAGTGGTCAGCTTCACGCCTCGGTCACTTTATCCCCTGGGAAAGAGCCTCCAGTGCTCATTAGACAGGAGGTTGCGTAGGCCCCAGAATTGTTCTGGGCTGTCCAGCCCATAGCCAGTCACTGTACTGACTGTGCTGTTCCGGCTCCTCCTAGCATGGGGTAATTTTCGAACTGACTCAGTATCTGGTATTTTCTTTTTACTTTAAAAATTCTGAAGTTCAATGTCATAGAGTGCCTAGGAGGTTGAGCCTCTGCCCAGTGTAGTGTCACAGCAGAAAAAGGGTTACAGTTCCCTGTTTAGTACAATGTATGCTTTGTGGTATACATGCATCAGTGTAGAACTGAAGGATGTACCACTTAATGGGCTTTATTCAAGTCACTGATTTTCAGTGGGAGGGCACAAAACTTAATAAACCAAGCTGTGACCGTTTAGAGTAGTGTTGTTTTCTTGAGCTGTTCAGTGATTAAGGACTGGATTGATGTAATGCAGCACTAATTCTGGGGAGCATCAAGCCAGAAACTTTCATGTTTCATGTTAAAATAGTAGTGGCTTGTTATTGCAAAGCATGACAGAATTTTCTGCCCTGTGTTGCATTTATTCTGCATGTTACATGCTTATCCATTTGAAATTTCATGCATTGAACCTTTGTTTGTTGGCTTTTCACTACACCGTGAAAAGAAGGGAGGTATTTTAAGTGTGGCGCAGAAAAATGGTCACATAAATTTTTTCCCAAAAATGTAATAAGATTCAGACAAAATACAAAAATATGTATATTCAGAATTTTTGATTCATTATAGTCTTTCAAAATTTTGGATTTATTAATCAGATGTTTAAAATTCCAATTTTAAAGATAAATCACTTCAGTGTCTGCAGAATTTTGATTCAGTATATTTTTTTGTAATTGTGGATTTATTAATTTAATATTTAAAACCATCAGTTTTGAAAATAAATCACTTAAATATCTGATGCTGAATTTTCATTATATTCTTTCATAATTATGGATGTATTAATCTGGTATTTAAAAACTCATTGAAGATAAATCAAGTCATTATTTCAAAAGAATTAATGTTTTGTTTTATATTTTCTCAAGTAGTGGAAATGGTTGGTTTTCAATACACATGGCTATCTAGAAACTACAGTCTAGTGAAGCGTGGCTCAGTATACCAGAGGGCCCAAGACAAATCGCCCATACTGTTCCCAGCCATGTAGTTCTCAAAATGGAAACTGAAAGCTGCCATTAAGGAGAACAGAGAGAGACCACCAATAAACGATTCACTTTGTTGACGTATTTCAGTTACTCTGTCTAACTAACTCCATGAAGCTGAAGCCTTCTTGGAAAGCCTCCAGTTGGGATTTCAGTTACTCATCTTAAAAGCTGTTGAATGTGTGCACGTATTTTTGTAGCCTATCTGTAAGTTGCTAAACCTACTTTTTTAAAATTGAATTGGAGGTTCTCAGAGCAGTGTCTGTGTGAAGTATGATGTTGTAGCTTGTAACACCATGTAGTTTGGTAAAAATCCACTAATGTTTTGGAGGACTGTCATTGGACTTCTGCCGCACTACACGTACCTGGCGTTAGAACCCAGAAGATCATAATCTGCACTTTTTAAACATTGACATACCTTCTTGGCTGCAATGTACAAATAGAAACTGAGTTCATTTCATAGACCTGTGCCGATGTTTTAAGCTGTTTTGTGTTATTAATTAAGAAGTGACTACTCAGTTCTGGGGCAATGAAGTGGAAGGAGTCAGTGCTCTGGTATACATCATGTAATTATGTCAGTGTTAGAAATGTAACTCTGTTTAATTATGCAAAGTGTGCAGTTTGATTACTGTGTTGTATTAGCAGAAGTATTTAATAAATAAGTGGCTGAATTTTAAGGTTGAGGTTCGAATTTTGGTCAGGAGTGTTGCATTTGAAGAGGCATCACGGGATGTGCATTAATACCTCTGCCTGTAATTTTTGACTAAGATGTTGTTTTCATGTCCTATCATTTTCTGTATTTTCAAATACAGGTATCAGTATTTTAGGCACAAATTCACTAATGTTTTAGGTGAGACATAGTATTAAGCCATGATAATAAAAATGCTGCAATCTTTTTTTAACTTACTGTCATCAACAATATCAACATGGCAGACATGTAAACTTATAAAGTGGGAAAAATATTAGTGCAGTTTTCAGATGTGGGATCTTTAATTTTTTCCTGGTCATAAGTCTAAAAATGACAGAACTTTTATTAAGACATTTTTAAGGGAATAGAAAATGAGATGGTCACAAAAAAATATTTGGGTGTGGTGATAACTGATATTTATTTGGTGACATGAACACAGATATTATTAGTATGTGTAGTATTAAAGCCCGCCAGTCATGGTAGCCGAGCAGTCTAAGGCATGTACTGTCTTCGCTCGCTTGGAAACTGGGATCGTGGATTTGAATCCCACTCGGGGCATGGATGTTTAGTTTGTGTTTGTGTATAGGTAGAGGCCTTGCAACAAGCTGATCACCCGCCCAAGGAGTCCTACCGAATGTGTAAGATCTAGAAAAACCAAAGTGAACGGAGAAGTTCATGGAGGTAGGCCTAGGCTCACTGGGGCTGTAGTGCCAAGGGGGGGGGGAAGTAGTATTAAAGCCTGCAATATTTAATCCTTTGGAACTTCAAAGTACATATTTAAATCTTGAATCTCTTTAATGTTTATGAATTTATTGAAAGTGATATATGGTTTTTTAGTTTTGGCTTGATGAGGTATGCACATTCATATTATCTTACATTCAACTATCAGCTCATGAGTTTAATGTGTTCACATGATATATCAGAGATGGTCTCACTGCTGGTCTTACAGCTCTTGGACGGAAGCTGAACATTCCAGGAAAGAGGATAGCAGGCACAGTGATGAACAAGAGCCAGACCTTACCACGTAGCATGGGCCGATCCCAGAGAAACATCATTTCTCCTCGACCCAACAAGCCGACATCCACACCTCCAGCTATCAAAAGACAACTCTCTGTAAGGATGAATTAAATTATTTCTTTGCAGAGAAATTAAAATGGTCATGATGTTAGTCATGAAAGCTTATCTTGTGTTTCTAAAGGTTTCTGTTGTTGGTTTAGTGTCATCAGTGGAGTTTATCTTTGAATATTATTCAATGTCTGTATGAGAAAAAAAATGTGATACTTCATGATCTGACCAGTGATAGGGTCCAACTTCATGTAATGAGTTGCACTAGTAAATAGCATGTTCTCATGCATGAAGGCAGAGGCAGAGCAGGCCAGTTAAACGACTGCCTGTCTGCACTGATAATAACTAACAAAATTTGATTCGGTCTTCCAGTTTATGAAAGAGTGCCATCATGTGAAACACTCTCCTAGCTGTTGTAATGTACAGAACAGGAAAGCAAGTGAACGACTATGGAGTTAGTTCCTTTGTTGTTATTGCTTTCACATGAACTTTCAAATTTCATTCAGTGTGCCAACAGTACTGTTCTCCATTGACTATGTCAAGAGCCACAGAAGTCGGAAATCTTTCCATAGAGCCATTAAGTGCTAATTTCCATGAAGAAAAAATTAACAAGCTCCACCATAGGCACAGGGATTTAATGAATTTGAATATGTTGACAGGGGCCCAGCAGTTCTCCTGCACGCAGGGCCAGCGGCAGCAACAACAACAGTTCTGCTGCAAAGGCCACACCATCTCGTAAAACTCCATCTCCTGCTCTGAAAGGTGTGGACCCAAAACTTGCTCAAATCATATTGGATGAAATTCTTGAAGGAGGTGCGTCAGTCCAGTGGGAAGACATAGCAGGACAAGAGGTACGACTTACCAGGCTTACCAAAAAAGTGATTATGTGCACTGTTCATATCCCAACAGATTTAACCATGTTTACCCCGTATTCTTGTCAAAGAAAGTTTTACTCTTTACAGTTCTTTTGTATAACAAATTCTTCCACAGCTATGGAATATACACATATGTATAATATTTATATATGGTTTTGTGTCCCATGTCTCAACTCAATCAGAACTTAATTTTAAGGCTTTTTGATAATGGTATGACACAGTGTTTAAAACCATTATTTTGTACTTTGCCCATCGTCCAAGGTCCAGGTTCATTAATATTACCACACTTCAGAAACTGGTTCTGTTTCTGTGTTCAGATAAACGGGATATTGTAGCATGTCTGCTGAAATTGTGAAGCCACCAGAGACAGCAGTTGCTGGGGAATGGCTCCATAAACACCCATTGCTAGGCAATGGCTCATTAGCTGTCACATGTTAGCCCCAACAGACACACATTCAGCAATAGAAGAGCTGTTGGAAGTGGTGTTTTCTGTGCAGTCCATGCCAAGGCTATATATGATGAGGACCAGCTGCCATTAGGGCCAGTCAGTTGAGAGAGAGAGAGAGAGATAGTCTGCAGTTTGGAGTTGCAGAAGCTGGTAGCTTATGCCGGGGACAGTTTGGGGACAGTTTGGGAACCTCGAGGTAGGGGAACACCCACCATTGGAAGTCACTATCAAGCAGCACAGTGAAGACCATGATTGAGAGCAGTAGTCTGTGTGTGATATGATTTGTAAAGTATAGTCACAAGTTCTTTAACCCGTTGCCGTGGTTCGACGTGTATGTTTCGTCAGGGATTTAAATCGTCTGGGGGGGTTCGACGTGTATGTTTCGTCCAGCTGCACACGTATGTTATAACGCCCATAATAATTGATGGTTTTGCTGTAGATTGTTAGATTTTTCACTGGCCTGTTGTCAGGAGGACTGTATTTAATGACACACGCGTTTAAGAGCGCTAAGTCGTCGTTACATATGCCTGTCTTGCAGCAACGTTCCTGTGGCTATTGCGAGCTGTTTCTGTTATGAATGATGTGTTTT